CACAACATCTTCGTCCCCGCTTTCCTCCTCTAAATAAAAAATGGATGACGGAGGAGACTCATCCACGACCTCCGACACTAAACTCTCCTCCTCTTGCATGTTTCTGCGAATTCCGGAGAATTCGGAAATGCAACGGTTAGAACAGCCGCTTCCCTACGACTTTAACACTAACCCTTAACTATCCAGTGTCACTCCAAATTAAGTCACACAAAGCTGTGGAAGTTGGTTATATAATGGGAATGGGACGGCCTCTTCCCTCCATCTAAAAAGGAAAGCATTTGTTACTATGGCAACACAGCACAGCCCAATGTGCGTGGCTGTAGCTCTGTGGCGCAGGTTCACATAACATTAAACATTTGCGCCTTTCTTTAAAATAAAAGTATACAGTGAAATAAAACCATTTCAAAGAGGACCTTCTTTTTATGAAACAACGACGTAATATTTATTTTTCTCAAACTGTGATTTTCTGTCAGCGTGACGAAGCTGCAGCAAACCGGCGAAACTTATATGTGAAAGGAAGTGTTTCTGTCGCTATAAAAAAAAAAATAAAAAATAGGAGCGGCCCAGTCAGGCCCAGATCTAATTCAAATGTATGCCACACTTTTCAGATTTTAGAATAAAACATCATAACACTCATATTCTTTCGTGGAAGTCTGTTATATAAAATAATAAATTACATGTGTAGTATTTAAAGGGTTGCTGATAATTTTACAATAAGGAAATCTAAATAAAGAGCAGATTTATTGCAGTTTTATCTTGATCTAAAACCGTCTGCATCCTATTAAAATACTGATAATCTGAAAACCTGCATATTTATACTCTAATTTCAATATCTCACATGCAGAATCAACCCCATAAATAATATTTTCCATACCTGAGAATGCAGAGCATGCATGCTGTTGTTGGACATCAGAAGAAACTTTAGTGACCACAGTCCAACAAACGAATCACTCCACACCTCTCTCACCTTGTTCCCACTAAGATCCAGCAGCCAAGTGCCATGGGGAACATTGGGGGGGACCTGGTCCAATCCTTTAGACCTGCAATCCACCAAGTCAGAGGACTCGTAGCAAAGGCAGGGGCTGGGACACAGCCTGAGGCCCGACATGATGCTGGGAAGCAGCGTCAGCAGAAGTAGAGGAATCATCATTGTGGGATCAAAGCGAAGACTCTCCAGCTAAAAGCCATGGTTGACCCTCTTGTACGTACACAGAGCGATGCATCTGAAGCGCAGCGGATGTGTTTGCAAAGGCACAGAAACGTGTCATTTCAGCAAACTCAGAGACACACACATGGAATATTCCCGATTAGATGGGATTATGGGCTTAAACTGATGATCACATAACCAAATCTGGGGAGTGAACCTGCAGTCTGTTTTGGACCTTTTCCTAAATGAAGGATTTACATCTATATGCATACATCAAGCATGATAGCAGCCGGTTTATCCATTTGGTTCTTTATTATATAACACTATGGATTATCTATAGATCAGTCTTTGATGGCAGACCGGACTGAATCTGAGCATCTTTTTAAAATTCTGAATAAATCATGTCCCTGATGATTATGGCTTACAACTTAAGAGAAGCTGAAATCCCACAATAGGGCCTTACATAATATGCAGAAACATTTTTAATCTGAAAGTTTGTTTTTACTGAAAAGAATGTGTATATACTGAACAATATATGCATTCTTTATTTGATCAGGGCTGCAATAGAGGTCAGCCTGATGCTCTGCTGACTTAAGGATTAGATTAGATTAAACTTTATGGTCATTGCACATGTACAGGTACAAGGCAACAAAATGCAGTTAAGGTCTAACCAGAAGTGCAATAACAGCAAGTTCAGGATAAATAATGGTTCTAGAAATACAGGACATGGGTTCTACTGAATAAGTATAGAGATGAATACTATTATAGTGTTATGAACTAAATTTACAGCTGGATATTTACCGAATATAATAAAGGGGTTTTACAGTTATGAACAATAGCATATATACGGATGAGTTTTACTATAAAATAAATAAAGTTTGGACAGAAGCTATCTAAATTAAAGTGCAGTGGAAGGTAATTGCATATTACAGGAAAATGCATATTAGGAAGCCCGGATTTTAAAGGCAGCCTTAAATTTGTCTGATGTTTCCTTATCTTCTTGGCATTCCTGTATAAATTCATCAGGGTCACGGAAATAACAAAACAGGCTGAATTCTGAGCTTTCAAAAGTCGAAAAACGGAGCAAAATCTCTATTTTGCAGCTTCTTCTTGACGGTACTCTGTGAGGAATCAGTCCGACAGGTAGGCTGGACATTTAAAAACTGTAAAATATTCGTCATATTTCAAAAAAGTTTAAAAAACAATCTCCTGGATAATTTTTAAAAGTTTGAAGATGTTTGGCTTCCCATCCTGGAAGATTTTTAAAGTAAAAAGTCTCAGAAATAGTGTTGAGTTCAAGGCTGGACCACAAACACCTTGTTTTGGCTTAAAAAACATGCAAGTTGAACCCAAAGAACAGGGATGGGGATCCATTGTTGCAATACCAGATACTGGTCTATGTATCTGAAAGACGAGTCGTTAGGGGAGAATTATTGGCCTGGCTTCAGGCTTTAGCTGTTCTAACACTGAATCGAACACAGTGAGCCAACATCAACTGATTGCAGGACTCCACAAATCATCACTTAACGCTTGCAACAAGTTCTGGAAACTATATTTCTAATGAAATGCTAAATTCTTTTTTGTTTTTATGGCACTAGAGGCTCTTTTTTTCGACAGTAGGCTGACAGGAAAAGGGGTATGAGAGGGAGAGACATGCGGCAAAAGCTCTCAGGTCGGCTTTGAACCCTGGTCGGTTGCGTTGAGGACACATGGGTAGTGCGCGCTAACCACTGCACCACCTGCATACACATGTAATGCAAAATTCTCTTTCATCTGTAACAAATTCCAAATAGACATGTTGGTGAAATCCTGTTATGTATTTACAGCCGATATATCCTGGATCATTAGTTTTGCAGGAAAAATCCAAAGCAGTTAATGTTCCTTTTTTCCTTCCACTTAACTTTCCATTAAAAGCTGGTCATGACACTCATTAGCAGCCTTTGACCAGCTGATGGTTAATAGTATTTCCTCATTCATGGACCAAAGTAAACAGAAGCAGAAACTTTTAACTATATTCCAATACGTCAAGATGTATTCTATGTCATTTTACAAACTGTCATTTAAATCAAACTCCTCTGATTAAATTTGACAGAACTTTCCATTTAGTAGATGGAATGACGGGCAATTCCTGTCATGACCGGGCAACAAAAACATACGAATAATGTTATTTAAATCTGTTCTTTTCACTGCAGATCTATGCATTAAATCAGCAGCCATGTGTGAACTGTAAAAAATCTAAATCTAGAGTATTTTTTTCTTAAAACAAGTGCATTTGTTATTGGATTAAGGAGGCAAAAGATGCATTTTGCCAATGGAACAAGACAATTTACATTTTTTCAAGTGCATTATATCTAATTATCTTATTTTAATAGTAGAAATACTCATTCCATTGGCAAACCATTTCATTTACCTACTCAAATTAAAGCTAAATACACTTAGTTTAAGAAATAGTTACTTATTTCTAGATTGTTTTTCCAGTTTGTAACCGTGAGAAAGGGAGAGAACTAAATATCTCTCCAGCCTTATTTTACTTCTGGCCCCCACGGATGTTCTAATTACCCGAATAGATTCACATCAAACATATTTTACACACCACTGAAGAAGTTGTGGAAAAGTACATTACAGTCAGAATTTTTGTTACTTTTATTTTAGAAAATGTCCTTTAAAGTGTGGCGTTTCAAGTCACATTTTGTTTTAAAATACAGAAAATACAGACAGTAGAACATGGATACAGAAAAAAAAAAAAAAAAAGAAAATGACAGGAAATAAAGCTAACAAGCCTTTCTGACTGCTCTAGTTTTCTCTTTTTGTAATGGAACTGAAGACAAAAGGAGGAGAGTGGAAAAAGAAAAGAGGTTTCAGGGACAGGAAGGGGTGGGGGGGTAGAAGGGAGGGGGGGCAGGATGAGACAAGTTAGTTAAGGAAACTATGGTACGCTTTATGGATCATGTTTAAATTATTCTTTATAAAGTCTAATTTAAGATTTTATCTTTCTTCTCTCTCTTTTTTTGTCTTTTTCATTTAATGGTATTTTGATCTTCAGGATCCAAGGCCCTCAGCGCTCCTCCTTGTGGTCTCGGACTGAGGACAAGGAATGCCGACTTTGTCTGGCAGTGGGAACAGAACCACCCGCGTCGCCTTCCCCCCGGCCGCTCCGCACTGCCAACTCAAGAAGATAAAGTGGAGTCCTTCTGTGTTTGCTGTGCTTGTGAACGTTGCATGGACTTCTGACTTTCCACGTCTCTAAAATGTTTCTCAACCTGCAACGATAAAAAGGGAAAAAACAAAACAAAGAAACCCTTAGCAAAAACCTGCAACGATTCGGTGTTTGAATAAAATTGCAAACAAAAACACTAGAAAATGTTTTTTTAGTCATCACCTGGTTCATGTGGCAAGGTTTTAAAATTGTCTAGTGATGTTTTTAACAAAAATCATAAAAGTTACTGATTATTTTAATAATTTACAAATTTACCGTAAATTCCGGACTATAAGCCGCTGCTTTTTTCCCGCTGTTTGAACACTGCAGCCTATAATACGGCGTGGCTAATACATGTTTTTTTTCATGGCGCGAAAAACCGACCAATAAAATTGATGAGTATTCACAGAGGAGAGTGGGTTTTCTACGGAAGAGGATTAGGGCCACTGGAAAAAAAAAAAGTTTACTGATTTTTTTTTAATTTTATTTCAGTATAGTATGGGAAAAAAGTCAGAATTCTGAGAAAAAAGTCAGAATTCTGAGAAAAAAGTCAGAATTCTGAGAAAAAAGTCAGAATTCTGAGATTAAAGTCAGAATTCTGAGATTAAAGTCAGAATTCTGAGATTAAAGTCAGAATTCTGAGATTAAAGTCAGAATTCTGAGATTAAAGTCAGAATTCTGAGATTAAAGTCAGAATTCTGAGATTAAAGTCAGAATTCTGAGTTTTTTCCAATACTAAATTGAAATAAAATTTTAAAAACAGTAAAACATTTTACTTTTTTTTTTTTTCAGTGGCCCTAATCCTCTTCCGTAGTTCTCAATGCGTGGAGCCGTGTGAAAACATCCAGCATCACCGGCGGGTTTCGGAAGGCTGAGCTGCTGCGGGATGAAGAGGACCGCGAGAGCGACAAGGATGAGACTGAAGTCAGCGACAGCATCCTGAAGCTGTTCCATTCAGACACCGAGGAAGAGGACTTTGAGGGTTTTAGTGCGCAGGAGGAAGAAGAAAGTGATTAATGACTTTTCCTGGTCGGCTGCAATGTTCTGTGCGTTGTTCAATTAAACGTACCGGTATATGCAGCGTTATCTGCGTGTTACAGACACATACGTATATTTAAAAGTGTTACAGGTAGTTTGAAAAAAAAAAAAAAAAAAAAAAACAGCATTCATAATATGTACCGTATTTGTTTGTTTTATCATACGGATTAAATCAAACATTAAACATGTAATATCTTTATCTGTAAATATCTCATACAATGTGGGAAACCTGCGGCTTAAAAAAAAAAGTCAGACTTCTGAGAAAAAAGTCAGAATTCTGAAAAAAGAAGTTGGAATTCTGAAAAAAGTTCGAATTCTGGGGGGGGGAGTCGGAATTCTGAGGGGAAAAAGTCGGAATTCTGAAAAAAGGTCGGAATTCTGAAAAAAAAGTCAGAATTCTGAGAAAGTGGGAATTCTTTTTTTTCCCCCATAATAAACTGAAATAAAATAAAAAAAATCAGTTCACTTTTTTTTTTCTTCAGCGGCCCTAATCCTCTTCCGTATGTAACTTTACAGCATCCTGCTAAATTGTTCTCTATACACAACTTTTGAACCGGATTGGGGAAACAATTTACGAAAAGCCCCAATAGAACTGAAAAAGTAGATCCCTTTGGTTCAGCAGAGCTGCGTCTGAATGAAGGTCAGAATTTGCAGCGCTTGATTGTAAATTTAGCAACAGAGGGAGGAAACCAAACAGTCCTCCCAGGATTATATTAAACTGCTTTATTTAAAGGCACCGAAAAACCTAGAGGGGCTTTCAGAGCATTCATTATTCCATCTTTAATCAACATTGTTCTTCTATGCTCCATTTTAACTAAAAGAAAGCTGAACTTGTTTAACCTACATCACAACCAGTCCCTGGTTGGTTGCTGCGACGTGATTTATAGGAAAATACAGGTATATACTGTGTAAATCCTTTTACTGCGTTTGGTCTGAATGCACATTTACGTTCTCCAATCAGCTTCATGCTCAGAGCATCTATTTTTCCTTTCATCATATCCAAACACATTGCATGAGAATATTAAGTCAGACTGGCAGCTCAGGCTCTGAGCCAGTCTGCTTCATGAATGAATTTTAAAGCCGTTTTTTTTTCCTGAACTCATCCCTGCTGGATGTGCAAAAAAAAAAAAAAAGTAGAGAGTAAAACCCAGATTTAATCAGGAAAACATCTGTCAGTTACGCCACCGGAGAGGTTTTCTGAGAAGATTGGCAATATTCTGCTTCCTTCAACTAAAACAGGAGGCTGCAGGGATTTGGACAAACAAACCAAATAATAACTTTTTCTACTGACTTTTTAAGGAGATCTTCTCATATCGTGAGTGGATCATTTTTCGACAGGTTAAACAAAACAAAAAAAAAAAGAAAGAAGCAAGTCAATTTATTGCGTAAGCTGTATTGAAAACTGAATCAATCAAAAGTTGTGCGTCGCAAACAAACATATTTATAAAAGATAAAATAGGAACCTATAAGGTTACTGAATAGAAATAGCTTTAATACGAGGAGGGAGAAAAGCTGCCCTTAGCCATGCGGCTAAACGCATGGTTCTGGTTGCTCTTGAAGGAATGTTGATTTACTTAATCTACGAAGCTTATTATTTTATATACTCTTAAACTATGTTATTATTTTTTTTTTTTTTTATATAAGGTGGACATTTGTGTGACCACTTTTGATATCATTTCGCTGCTGTAACACCAGATTTTCCCCACTGTGGGACAAAAAAGTTTTTTTTTTATTTTATTATTAGTATAATGACATTTTTCTCTGTTATTAACTTTCGTGTGATCGCATCCCTACGAGCAAGTCAGTATTTTTTGTGTTTTTTTGCTCCGCCATGCAGTACAGCTGAATGGGCTCTACTTAAAAACTTGTCAAGTTTATCTCTAGGATTTTTATCAACAATGCATGGAGAATTTTTTTTTTTTGTTCCAATTTTAGATCTGCTATAGAGCCTTGGACCAAACTGGGCCATGAAGAGAGCAATGACATAATTGAGAAAGCTTCCTGGAGAGGTGGCGAAACGTCTTCAAATCTTGGAAACCAAGTCCAGTGGATATTTTTTTAATTTTTACGGAATGACTAACGACCTGGATGACTGAGAACCTTCATCAGCAGACATAAGGAGAAGAACCGAGATGCTCATATGGCCTAGTCAGGCATTCCCAAACTCGGTCCTCAAGGCCCCCTGTCCTGCAGGTTTTAGAGGTTTCTCTGCTTCAGCACAGCTGGTTATAATGATTGCAGTAGACTAAAAGCCTGTTAATCAGCTTTCAATTAAAATCAGCTGTGCTGGAGGCAAGGAAACCTAAAACCTGCAGGACAGGGGGCCTTAAGGACAGAGTTTGGGGATGCCTGGCCTAGTCAAAACCCAGGAATGCATCCACGACAAAACAGCTGTGCAGAAAAAGATTAGTAAATTGAAAATTGGTCAAAATATCTCTACACTTATGGGAGATATAAAAATTTTGTTCTTTGAATAACTGTTTAAAATAAACAGATAAAACTCAAATTTAACAGGAATAGCAGTTTAAACCTGTGCGTCCTTTTCAAATAGATGAGTGGAATCTGCAGGGTCTTATTGTACAGCTTACTTCGTATTAACCGTGTGGTTTGATGTTATAGCTTACTTACTATTTTGCGTACGTGACTTAAAGCGCTTCCCTCTTTGCCTCTGCAGTTCTCGACCTGGTAAGGCGGTGAGATTACAACGTCGTCCATCACAATAATGTTCTTCTCCTGCCATTTACAGTCTTTGATGCTGCAAAGAAACAGAATTCATTCATTCAAAATTGTCAAATCTACTTTCAATTTTTTTTTATAGACCCTCTTATGAATCCACCCTAAAAAGCAAAATAGACCTCAAGTAATGTGAAAATAATAAATGTAGAGAAAACCACCCTGGATGTTTTTAACCCAGCAACCAGTAGGGACAGGAAAGAGAACATGTCCAAGGGAAGTAATTATGACCCTGACTGTTCCTGGAAATGTTCAATACAGCTTCCTTACAGTGAACGCCATTGTTTATGTTATTAAAGGCTTGAGCAATAGGAGGCCACAGTATTGTGACTACATGGGAAAAAAAAGAATGGTAAGAAAAATAAGGGCAGAGCTATAAACTACGCTCTTTAATCTGAAGTGCAGTGTGATGCAGGGCAATGATGTAAAAGTCAGATAAAATTCTGCATGACCAATCAGACCGAATGCTCTATGAAAACCATCAGATACGCATTTGATACAGTAGCACATATGGAAGTAGCTCAAATCAGATTTTTTTTGGGAGTGAAAAGCTCAGAATTGGGAAGTTCAGACTGCTGCAAAAAGTTAAATAAAATAAAAAAATAAAAAAACAAGTCAAAGGTCAGATTTAAGTCTCATTTCCCCGCTGTGTGAATGTAGCCTTAATCAAAAGAGTCAATATAGAGTTGGGCTGAAACAAGGACTCTGATTAATCATGATTCATTATGGAAATAATCGTCAACTAATTCAATAATCACTGAATCGCTAACTGGAGTATAGAGTAGGGGTGTAAATAATCCTTTTGTATCGATGCATCGACACGTCCGCAAGATAATCGATTCGTGTTTTTTTTTCCTCCGGTCTATTTTTATCCATTTGCTCCAATTCCATTTGCTCCAATTCTCCAATTCTCCTCCCGTGCTGCGGTGGCGCTAAAAGTATTTTGCCCTCCTACCTCGCTTCCTGTTTATACTCTTACAGCAGTGTGTCACAGTAAGCTTGACACAGACATTTTTAAATTATGCTCAATATTGAAGCGTGGTCTGTGCTACACACTGTGGGTCTAGATACGGCCGAGGCGGCGAGGAAGTGGGGGCGAGTTTAGTCCGACGACGGAGGGACATGAGGGCCAAAAAGAGAGGAGATCCAGGTGGAAAAAGGGTCCCAGCGTTCTCGCACACCTCGCTTTTCTAGCGGGTCAAACTTCACGAGTTGTTTTCCTCAATTTCAGTCATAAAAACAAAACAAGCCGACCTCCTGTCTGCGGTCAGCTACAATTTGGGAGAGGAGCAGCAGAGTGCCTCTCAAGGGGGCTGGACGTCTGGAGCCGAGGTATTGAATTGCACTCCTTGCAGTGATTTTCTGCAGTATTTTTGCAGTATTTTTTGATACAACTTTTCTACTTCTGTTATTTGTTGTTGTTCTAAAAAAAAAAAAATGCATAACGATCTTATAGCTTTCATTGATTTATTTCAAATTTGAAACTTTGTTTAGCCTGTAAGATGTAAAAAAAATTTTTTTTTTTTAAATTAACCAATTAATCGAATCGAAGTGTATTCTTGAGTATCGAAAATAATCAAATCATTGGGTCAGTAAAGCGATACTGAATCAACGCACCATGATGGATACGATTTACACCCCTTGTATAGAGGCTCTAAAATATGCCTCTACCTAACAGAGCGACCCACTTAGATCAGTAATTATACTAAAGTTATAAAAATAATTAAAAAAAAAACTCCAAATTTTGCATTTAACACAAAAAACTTGCTGCGAGAAATTGCTGTACACATCTAGTCTGATAAACCAGACTAAATGTGTAAGTTAGACTGGCCATCGGAAGATTG